TTTTGGCACTAATTAATCATACGAGCATATAAAATGAGGAAAAAATATGTGTTTTGTATTCCTATCACTCATCTCCTTGTATTTAACCTTGCTTTTCTTGACATCCTTCAATTTTCTTTGAAGAGTATCACATCTGTTTTCCAAGGATTGAACCTTCGTGTCCAAACTATTAGCTTTCATAACGTAAACCTCATATTTTACCTATTGATCATGATGTAATACAATTGCTTGCATTAGATGAGCATCAATATTTTTCACCTCTACATAAAGGTAAGCTCCTTCGTAAGACTACTAGGATTGATTAAAAGAAGTATGCACAGATCTCATGGCCCGAGAGATGAAGGAAGGAAGGAAGGAAGGATGCAGGTTGTCTACAAAAAAATTCATGTCTGTATATAATCTATTAGTATATTAGTAATATATTTTTAATGTTGGAATATCTTCCTAAATTGGGAATGATTGATAGTTTTTCTAATTAGCCTTAATTAGTTGATATTGTTACTTTTTCTAATCATCTTCTCCTATAAAATGACAGTATCTTATACAGTTTATACACACCTCGGAATATACAAAATATTATTTACTTCTCTATTTTCTTTCTATACTTTTCTTATGTCAACATGGTATCAGATCCATCTGTCTTCGAGTTCTAATGTTTTAATATAAGAAACGGAGTCCACGATACTTTTTTTCTTGACATGCTACTGGTTCTTAGATCCCATCGTTCTTTCATCAATTTTGAGGATTCTGTTTATCGATTTTTGGTTTTTCAATACCTCCTAATCGATTTCAGGCTTTCCAAGATTAATTGGTGGAAAGAAACATCTTTGACCTCCATTTGCTCTGATTCGATTAACATCATTTATTTATGATTTCCACTAATGATGTTAATAGTACTCGTCGTACTAATATTTTTTTGGATGACACCCATTACCATATTTGGGCACAGAAAATGTCGGTATTTTTGATTGGTCATAGATTGTGGCGTTTTGTTATTGGCGACAAAGTAAAGCCAACAAAAATTGTGGAGTCTGGGAATGAGTTTAATGAGTGTCTTCAGATCTGGGAATGCCAAGCTTGGAATTTTTTGACAAATCGATACAATTTCTCTAGTGATGCCACTCTCCAATTTTAATTGGAGTCCAAGTTGTATCAGTTACATCAAGAGCCTGGTAAATACATTGCCGAGTTTCACTCTCAAGTTTTTGGTTTTTAGGATTAGCTCTCTCTGGCTGATTCATCTTTTCTTGATGATAAATTAGTTGAAATTTTCTCAGTGTCAAGATCGTCGACAATTCATCCATTTTATGATGCATATTTGAGATGACTTTGAGAATACTAGAGCCTCGTTGTTTCATCACTGTCCACAACCAACTCTTGATGTTGTTCTTCTGAGCTCATTTCTAAGGACTCACGTCGAAGACTCGTCGCATTCATTATACTAGTATTGTTATGGCTAGCATACCTAGTTCAGTTGTGGCTGCTGCTTCTTCCAAGCCATGTCGTTTCATCTGTCAATGTCACTATTTAAAGAAGAAGGTCATCAAATTTCTGATTGTGCCAAGAAAAAAGGCTAAAGATGTAAGAGATGCTCAGAAAGCTAAGGCACATACCTCCATCCCTAATATAGTCGTTGCATCTACTAATTCATTAGCTTCAAAGTCTTCATCTATACTTTGTCATCTCTCACAGCAGCTAATCGTGAGGCAATTGTCCATCAGGTTTTCTCTCGTACTCCCACTACCTTGTCTGCTTCTTCTGTCATATCTTCCTATTGGTTAATAAATTCAGCATGTTACAATCATATGACCCCTGATTTCTCTCTATTGTTTGAGAAAAAAATTGTAAATCATGTCCCTGATATTTACACTGCTGATGGTTCCCATATGCCTGTTAGTCATGTTGGTTTTGTCTCTACCTCTACTCTTTCAAATCCTAATACATATCTCATTCTAAAATTATCTCTCGATCTTCTTTTTGTTGGACAACTTGTTGAGCATCATCTTGTTTTAGCATTTTCTAATAAAGTGTGTCATGTTTAGGATCAAAAGACGGGTCAGCTAGTTGAGATAGGGCGTAAAATTAGTCCATTGTTTGAGCTTTCATCATTGCAAGTTCCCAGTTCATCTTCTGTCCAACCTTTTGCAGCTACTGTCTCTTTCCGTCTTTGGCATTCCCGCCTTGGTCTTACATCTTTGTCTCATATTCAATCGTTACATCTAATGGTTACTTAAGAAGAGCTAACTTTGACACTTTTGATTGTGCATCTTGTCAATTAGGAAAATAGAATGCTCTATCCATTCATAACGACGACTTTTTATCTTTTGCCCCTTTTCTTTGGTATTCCCGCCTTGGTCTTACATATTTGTCTCGTATTCAATCTTTAGCATCTAATGGGTACTTAAGAAGAGCTAACTTTGACTCTTTTGATTGTGTATCCTGTCAATTAGGAAAATAGAAAGCTTTATCCATTCATAACAGAGACTCTTTATCTTTTACCCCTTTTGATCTTATACATTCTAATGTATGGAAACCAAGCTCTACTCCCAGCAAGGGGGAGTCTCGTTATTTTGTTATCTCTATCAACGATTAATTATGCTACACATGGATTTATCTTTTACACAATCGACCCGAGTTATTAAATGTATTTCGTAGTTTTAAGTAGATGATAAAAACTCAATTTGATCACACTATCAAAATTTTCGTTGAGATAATGCCGTGGAGTACTTTTTGTCTATTCTCTTGACACAATTAAAGAAGATGGCACTCGTTCTCATCGATCTTGTCCGTATACTTCCCAACAGAATGGTCATGCAACTCTCAACCTCTCTTTCTCCACGGAAAGGTAACAAAATTTTCACTCTTGAAAGTTTTTGGTTGTGCTTGTTTTGTATTACTTCCACATCATGAGGCTATTAAACTTGAACCACGATCTCGTCTATATTGTTTTCTTGGTTATGACATTGAACACAAAGGTTATCAATGTTATGAACCTATCACCAAGCGTCTTCGCATCTCCTATCATGTTCAATTTTGGGAGCACAAGCTCTTCACCAGTATATCCTCAATCCCGTCACATCCTCCGTCTCCTCATCCTGTTTTTACTGAACTCGGTATAGATTTTTTATTAGATTTTAATGCAGGTGTTGAAAGCTCATTCAGATACCACTCATCACATGCTCTTCCTAAGTCTGAGGAATTGCCTGATCTTGTCATCACCTTCGAGTCCTCATCCACTTCAAAAATTCTTTGCTCCAATATAGTAAGAACACCTTCGACACATCTTAATGATTATCATTATTTTTTGATATTGCCACTCTTCATAAACCTTACAAATATCACGAGGCCAGTTTGACCCCCTTTGGCAAAAAGCTACGTTCGATGAACTTGAGGCCCTCTTCAAAACTCGTACATGGGACTCAGCTAATTTGCCTCAAGGTAAGTCTATAGTAGGATGCAAATGGTGTACAAGATTAAGACATGGTTTCATGGGTCTATTGAATGATATACAACTTGTCTAGTAGTGCGACGATTCACTCAAGAGTATGGTATTGACTACGAGGAGACTTTTGTACATGTTACACGTCTTACTTCTTTTAGATCTTTACTTGCAGTTGAAGCTATTCGACCTTGGAGCCTATTTCAAATGGATGTGAAGAATGCATTTATTAATGGTGATCTAGATAAAGAAGTATATCCCAAACCTCCTCCAGGATTTGAGCACCTGTCTCAAAAGTTTTGTTGCCTTCGAAAGGTTCTTTACATTCTCAAGCAGTCTCTTTGAGCTTGGTTTTCCAAGTTTAGTTCAATGTTGGCTTAGTAAGGCTTTATTCCTAGTGCATATGATTCTGCTTTGTTTATCCATCGATATAAGGCTAGTATTGTCCTTCTCTAACTATACATTGATGACATGGTTATTACGGGTGACATTCTTTCAGGTATACAAGCACTTCAGCAGTTTCTTAGTCAAAAGTTTGAGATGAAGGATTTGGATGGATATTATCTTTCCCAAGCTAAGTATACATCCGAGCTCTTGTCTTGTGTTGGATTGAACGATAGTAAGATTGTGGATAGCCTTTTGGAGAGAAAAGGAAAGCTTATTCCTGACGATAGAACACTTTTAGATGATGCTACTCTTTATCGACAATTGGTCGGTAGTCTTATTTACTTGACGTGACTCGTCCTGACATTTCTTATGTAGTCACCTTGGTAAGTTAGTTTATGGATTCCCCTCACTCTACTCACTATGCTGCTATTTTCTTGAATCTTCGGTACATTAAAGAGACTTTGTTCCATGGGATTCATTTTTCTGCCCACTCATCGTTGGACCTTTAGGAATATTCTGATGATGACTGTGCAAGTGATCTTATTAATCATCGTTCCACTACTGGATATTTCTTATTGCTAGGTACATTTCTTATCTTTTGGAGAAATAAGAACATACATTTGTATTTAGCTCTAGTATAGAAGTTGAATATTGTGTATTGGCTGATACTACCTCTGAACTTTTGCGCCTTCTATGGTTACTATGGATGTGGGTGTTATCTTTAGTGGCAGTTCTTCTATTCATTGTGACAATACTAGTGCTATTCAGTTGTCCACAATGATTTTTTCATGAGCGCACGAAGCATATTGAGATAGATAGTCATTTCATTCATTATTATATTAGGCGAGGTACTCTTCAATTTCATCATGTCACTTTTGCTTATCAACTTGCTGACATCTTCACAAAGGCTCATGCTCCTGAACAATATCGTGATTTAGTTTACAAAGTCAAGTTGACATCTTCAGTCAATCTTAAGTTTGAAGGGGTGTCAGTATATATTCTGTTATTATATTAGTTGTATATTCCTAATGTAGGAATATCTTCCTAAATCGGGAATGATTGATATTTTGTCTAATTAGCCTTAATTAGTTGATATTATTACCTTTTGTAGTCACCTCCTTCTCCTATAAAAGGTTGGTCTTTTGTACTATTTAGCCCCTGTTTGGCCCCCATTATTGTAGATTTTTAGGGGGTTGAAAATTTTTAGAATAGTGATTGATGGGAGATGTGTGGTTGAAAAGTTTTAGATTTGTGTGTATTATTATTTTATTTGATGAATGTAAGAT